CCCCGGAACCTACACGTGGTGAATTCGTAACACAAAACTCACTGCCTCTCAAAGGGGGCCCCGGAACCTACACGTGGTGAATTCGTAACACAAAACTCACTGCCTCTCAAAGGGGGCCCCGGAACCTACACGGGGTGAATTCGTAACACAAAACTCACTGCCTCTCAGAGGGGGCCCCGGAACCTACACGTGGTGAATTCGTAACACAAAACTCACTGCCTCTCAGAGGGGGCCCCGGAACCTACACGGGGTGAACAGTAATAAAGGGTAGGGTTCTGGAAAGAAACAGAAGGGGTCGACCAGAATAAATGGGGGGCACAGGAAACCCTAGGCATAAAGGGAGGAGAATGCATGCAGCAAAGTGGCTTTCTGTCTGGCCGTGATGAGAGTCACATTTTGCAAAGGACAAGCTACAGTGGTGATAAAGAAACATCAAATAAGTACCTTTGTTAACTGAAAAAAGAAAATAAACCAGAAATAATTCTTGCTCACTTTGATTTTTACCTCAATATGTAAATACTTCCAGATAGCAAATTGTCCCAATGAATTTGCTTTTTTTTTATATCAAGGGAAGTAATATAAATATAAATGGAACACAAAAATAACTGCTTCTTTTCCTTTGACCAACAAAACAGGTATTTTTGACATAGCCCAGAGAAAAATGTGACACCACCATAAGATAATTGTAAGGTCACACTGCCCTAAAACAATCAATTTTTTTTTCTACATATTATCTCAACCAGGGTAGAGGAGGATCCTCTAAGTAAGCTTTTGAAAAGTCCACTAAGTATTTGAAAAGTAATTAACAGGTAAGAAGATTCTCTTCATTAAAAATATGTGCCGTCTTCACAATGAAGGTTGGGTACAGACTGCCCAATGCTGTCACTGGGAATACTACATGTTGAGACCTCAATCTCTTCCGTGGTGCAGCTTGTGTAATACGTTTCAAAAACCACAAGAGCAGTGTTTAAAAACATCCACCGCATCTGTTTTTGCATTCAGTCTTCACTGATTTCATGAGCCTCTTCTATAATTTCACAAATATAACACAACACTTAAAATTAGGTAGACTTTGTACTTTGGAAGTATTTAATAAGCAAGTCAATAAATGCATAGATGGACAATTCTAAGTTGTCACCTGAAATTGGTTAAATTTAAAAAAAAATGTATATTCTTATGACACTTCGGAGATGGAGCCTTATTTGAAGTTTCAGTGTCAAGAAGATGGAGCCTTCAGGAAGGGATTTTTCTTAATTTACATACAAAACTTATAACAAATAAAGCGTTTAATTAACACATACAACACTATACATATTCTTTTAGGAAACTGAATGAACTAACACAATCTTTATGAATCACACCGACATCTCAACATTTATTAAAATAAGCTATCAAATTTGCATATTTATGCATGCATTTTTTAATTACTTAGGACAAACCCGACTAAACTGAACAATCTGGCTAAACTGTCTGATGAACGAAGCCTGAATAAGTCCTAATACTTGTATTTTGGCAAGCAAGGCCTATGTAGGTCCTCCAGGGGTTCTACAAATTGCGCAACGCTTCCTCTCTTAAATTTAAGTCCTTGTGCAAATTACTCTCCTCCAGTTATCATCCTCTTTCCACCTTCGTACTCATAATCATTGATCATTACTACTTTGGATGAAAACTGGCCTTCATCACTCATGATGGACGAACAACATTAATTTTTTTTAAATAAACAAGCTAAAATGCAGTTAAGCTGTGAAAATGTTAAAACTGGAAACACAAAGTATATAATCAGCATTCTATCTATATATCCTCTTGTTTTTTTTTTGTCCCCGTTGAGACATAAGGCATTCACAAGTATTCTCCATTACTGCCATCTGCTGTTTTTTTGCCTATGGTATCCCATGTTATTTTACATTCATTAATTTCCATTTCTACTGTCTCCCTACAGGGTTCCTTAAGTAATCCGTGTTTCCTTTTTTCTATCGTCCGTCCATCGAACAGTGTCCTTGTCAAAGTGTCATAAGTCATTCCGCAAATATGACCAAGCCATCTCCATCTTCTTTGTTTGATATAATCTGCATTACCATATTTAAATTACAATTACTGTCATTTTGTAAGCATGACCTATAAATCTTGTTTTCTAACTGCTTAATGTATTGAAATCGACATCAAAGCTTAAAGGGCAAACCACAGCAAATCAACCAAAGTATCATATAAAACCTATTGCCAACAAATCTATAACAGCCCTCAGTGGTATAACATATCTAAATTCATTGTTTGGACCACAAGCAAAAATATGTGAAAATCTAAAACTCAGTATGATTTTAATACTGCAATCAATGTAGCATATACACAAACGTTTGGTAATGTAAAAATGTAGAAGTAAAGCATTAAAATATAAATATACTGAAGTGGACATGCTACCAAGGATACCAAGGACACACTGTCAACCCTATCACCAGTAAGGCTAAAAACAATAGGTCATGACCCTGCTGAAATTCACGAAAAATCCTTTTAAAAAAATGGATTCACACAGGTCATTAATAACTTTTTAAAAGTTTATCTACTTTTCGTATTTTTTCTCCAAAATATATAAAGGGAGCTATCAATCAACATGAACAGAGTGAAGCATTAAACGGAACACACTTCCCCATCATCATCATCATCATGTACCTTGCCAGTTGGTGTAGGCGCTCATGCATCTCTACATATTACGATCCCTGGTTGCCTGGAGCAGCTCTCTTGATGATATCCCTCCATGCCATCGTTTCAGCCCATCCAGCATCATCTCTCTTGGTCTGCCTCTAGCCCTTTTTCCACTGATCTTTTCAGTTGTCATGATGTTTTCCAGAGCCTCTCCTTCTCATCAGGTGGCCAAAGAACAGTGTCTGTCTTCTTCTTATTGTTGTATACAGAGATCTACTTTCATTAGCTTCTTTCAAACACCTGTAGTTAGTTCCCACTTCCCCAGGCCTAAACAAAATTAGTGTGTATTAGGTGACTTCTGCTGTGACCTTGTGACCTCTATCACTGAGGCTGATGAAAACATGTGACCTCAACTTGGCTTTTCAAAAGCTATTTGATTCACAGCAAAACCCCCTAAAAGCTACTGTTTGATAGCACCTTGTAAATATCAAAAGGGACATTTACGGGAATGGGGCACAACCAGAAGTGCCAGTTCTGCGGCTTCTTGGGGTGACGGGGTCAAGTCCACTTTGACATGGGGGTGACAGGGTCAAGTCCACTTTGACATGGGGGTGACAGGGTCAAGTCCACTTTGACATGGCGGTGACGGGGTCAAGTCCACTTTGACATGAATGAATGATAACAAACAGATGGAATGGATCATGCTGGCAGCCATCATAAGCCATTCTAAATATTTGACGAGACTTACCAGTGTGGATTCTAGGGCCTCACTGTGTTGAATTAGACCCACTGCCCCTTAATAAGCATGTCATCAGAGGGGACTAATTATGGGTGTATCCTTCTAAGTGGGCAAGGAATTAACAGTATGCATACACATAAGCCACATCTTTAAACTTACTTACTTACTTAGTCGCTCCTCTTCTACCTTGGGGTGTAGAGGTTTGCCAGAGAGATCGCCAGACGTCTCTATCAGCAGTTTTTTTTCTGGCTTTGTTCCATTCCAGTCCTCTGTCAGTTAGGGACTGTCGGATGTTGTCTTCCCAGCGCACCCTGGGTCGTCCTGGAGGTCTGGTTCCCTGGTTCTTAGCCTCCCATGCCTGCCGATTTTCTCCCATTCTGCATGCATGTCCAAACCATCATAACTGTGACTGATCCACTCGGGTTTGTAAGGACTGGGTATCAAGATCTTGACGTATTGTCTGATTGTGGACTTTGTCCCTTCTTGTCACTTGGACCACCTTTCTCAGGTATCTCATTTCCGAGGCCTGCAGCTGGCTTCTGTGAGCTGTTGTCATTGCCCATGACTCACACCCATAGGTCAGGACTGGTACATAGGTAGAGCGGTAAACAGCCATTTTCGTCCTCTTGCCAATTTCTCTTTTGCTAAGAAACCCTCGGTTTATGGCCTGGAAGAGTCTCCCAGCAGCTGCTTTTCATGTAGCCAGCTCAGTCTTAATGCCTCCATTTCGGTCTAATACAACTCCAAGGTATTTGAACTGGTTAACCTGCTCCAATGCATACTGTCCCATCATGATCTGGTGTTTCTTCTCCTCTCTTGAGATCACCATTGTTTTAGTTTTGGAGATGGTCATCCCTCTCTTTTCAAGCTCTTCCTTCCAGACAAGTAAGTTGGACTGTAGGTGTGCCTCTGATTTAGCTATCAGGGCCACATCGTCTGCAAATGCCAGCTCGGATATACAGATTGGTCTCATCTTCCAGTATACAGAATACTTCTTTGTCTTCTCCTTACAGGCCTTGATGACATCATCCATCATAAGAATGAAGAGGTAAGGTGAGAGAATATCACCTTGTCTAAAACCGCTGGTGGTCTTAAATGCTTCTGACTTTTGGTCCGCTGTTCTTACATAATTTCTGCTTCACATCTTTAAAACGGATATAAATCTCAAATTCTGGAACAAGACTAAATAATGTCCAGAAGTGAATCAGAACTTTCTGCCAGAGTTTACAACCTGTTGAAAGCAAAGGATGGAAGAATCAACAAGTACATTATGGAGGTGAAAAAAAAGCATGCAGGTTGATTCTTGTCTTTGGGTGAAAGATGACTGCCTTCAACATTCAAATAACATAACCAGCAACTTACATCAAATATCTTATTTGTAAAAATGCAATAGAACATTCTGTTTATATATTCATCCCACATAAACTTGGCCCGTTACAAAAGACTAAACATTGATTGAGCCTCTTCTTACAAAAAAACATATCTTCAGAATTAACTAAACAACAAAACAAATCAAATGACCACTCATTATCAAAGAAAACAGCAAAGCAATGGCATGTCCATAAATACACAATGATCACAGCTTGCTGCCTTCTGAAGACTTTATACTTGCCTCCTTTGCAAGTCAACTGGAAGCCAACTTCTTCTTTAGATTCTGAGCCAGGGTGTCCAGGAACTCAAAAGTCTCCTGGTAGTCACTGCGGGTGACACTATAAGAGCAACAATGAAAATCAGATTTTGTAACAGTATGAATTTCACATGAACAGCTAGGAATGGTTTTTGGTATTAACAATGGAACAACATCATGGCACAAGGGCATTAACCCATAACTGTTCTGTTCTACTTCTAACTCAAGCCTGAGTCCGAAGAAACTCAGTGCAGTGCACGAACTCTAGCACAGACAAGGATCCTAAAATACTTTGGGTAGATTTTTAACCCCAAATTTTTCGGAGGCAGCACCATTTAGCTACTCCTTTTGATTTCCAACTGCCAAAGGATTTTTTTTTACATGTGCAACAACACACAAGGGGCGTCATCAGGCTTGAGTTAGAAGTAGAATGGAGCACTTATGGGTTACACCCGTGTGCCAGAATGTTGATCTATCGCATAAATATAAACACACAGGCGTCCGATCTTACTACCCAGAGACCAGGGGAAATTACTAGCGGTCCACATGAAAAAATCCCAGCCTTCATCAGAGCCTGAAACCAGGACCTCCAGCACTCGAAGCAGATGCCTCGCCTTGAGACCACTCAGCCTCCTGAGCTAGGAATTAACTCACATAAATATAGCAGGTGAGGGGGGGGGGGGGGTGCGACAGAGACAAGTATATTATACAGTAGTTTTTTTTCTTTTAAATTAACAATGAATATAAAACAAGAATTGTGATGAACACGTAACTAGGAAATGCTAATCAGGAATGTCTTAGATTCAGTTATACAATAAATTAGAGAACATATCTGAAGTTAGGATACAAGCCTAAAAGGGGTCACTAAAAGAGGATAGTGAGGGCAACATGATAATTACAAAGATTTGTAAGCAGGATTCAAGCTAAACATCTCACCTGAACCAGCACAAGTACTTGAATTAATGAATGGATAGATCAGGTGTAGGAAGACAAGAAGGTATGTGTAAAACAAGCAATTCTGAGTTCTGTTGTCTCAGACACATTAACCTTAGACGCAGGTGTGCCTTTTATAACAGTACCAGTGAGTGGGGAACATCAGAAGATCCCATCTAAGGATACGAAAGATGCATGAAATTATGAGATGGAGGTAAGTGAGTTGTATACATAGGATAGGAGAAATGTAGAGGAGATTCAGATTGAGATAGAGAGAGCTGGAGACTGCAGGTTTCTGACAGCAATTGGTAGAGTAGTCCCATTTGGCTGGATAGATGGACTTGCCATATAGTTAACAATTAGATTCCAAGAGTCAATCTGGTGTAAATATAAGTGTGAAATTCCTGCGGGAAAATATAAATAATGAATGCCAAATACTTTCTGTTACTTGATTAATTCTGCGGGAAAATAGGAATGGAAGCTAGATTATTTGTTGATAAATTATGTTATAAATACTGTAATTATATATCAGAAGCACTTCATATTCCGGGGAATTCACAGATGTTGATCCTAGATGCATTAAATGTTAGATGTGCACAAGTGGTGTAAACACTTATTTTTATCTGTAAAAAATTTTCCTTATGTGAATGCCAATGCCAAGACAACAAACAGGGACACTGTAAATGCCAAGACAAGGGTACACTGAGAATGCCATGTCCAGGTACACTGTGAATGCCAAAACAACGGGTACACTGTGAATGCCATGACAACAGGTACACTGTGAATCCCATGACAACAGGTACACTGTGAATGCCATGACAACAGGTACACTGTGAATGCCATGACAACAGGTACACTGTGAATGCCATGACAACAGGTACACTGTGAATGCCAAGACAACAGGTACACTGTGAATGCCAAGACAACAGGTACACTGAGAATGCCATGTCCAGGTACGCTGTGAATGTCAAAACAATGGGTACACTGTGAATGTCAAGACAACAGGTACACTGTGAATGCCAAGACAACAGGTACACTGTGAATGCCAAGACAACAGGTACACTGTGAATGCCAAGACAACAGGTACACTGTGAATGCCAAGACAACAGGTACACTGTGAATGCCAAGACAACGGGTACACTGTGAATGCCAAGACAATGGGTACACTGTGAATGTCAAGACAACGGGTACACTGTGAATGCCATGACAACAGGTACACTGTGAATGCCATGACAACAGGTACACTGTGAATGCCATGACAACAGGTACACTGTGAATGCCATGACAACAGGTACACTGTGAATGTCAAGACAACAGGTACACTGTGAATGTCAAGACAACAGGTACACTGTGAATGTCAAGACAACGGGTACACTGTGAATGCCATGACAACAGGTACACTGTGAATGTCAAGACAACAGGTACACTGTGAATGCCATGACAACAGGTACACTGTGAATGTCAAGACAACGGGTACACTGTGAATGCCATGACAACAGGTACACTGTGAATGTCAAGACAACAGGTACACTGTGAATGTCAAGACAACAGGTACACTGTGAATGTCAAGACAACAGGTACACTGTGAATGTCAAGACAACAGGTACACTGTGAATGTCAAGACAACGGGTACACTGTGAATGCCATGACAACAGGTACACTGTGAATGTCAAGACAACAGGTACACTGTGAATGCCATGACAACAGGTACACTGTGAATGTCAAGACAACAGGTACACTGTGAATGTCAAGAGAACAGGTACACTGTGAATGTCAAGACAACGGGTACACTGTGAATGCCATGACAACAGGTACACTGTGAATGTCAAGACAACAGGTACACTGTGAATGTCAAGACAACAGGTACACTGTGAATGTCAAGACAACGGGTACACTGTGAATGCCATGACAACAGGTACACTGTGAATGCCATGACAACAGGTACACTGTGAATGCCATGACAACAGGTACACTGTGAATGCCAAGACAATGGGTACACTGTGAATGCCATGACAACAGGTACACTGTGAATGCCAAGACAACAGGTACACTGTGAATGCCAAATAAAAACGGGTACACTGTGAATGCCAAGACAACGGGTACACTGTGAATGCCAAATAAAAACGGGTTCACTGTGAATGCCAAGACAGCAATCAAGACTGTTTGAGTAATTGCTACTGTTCACAAGAAATCGGCTTCAAGGCTACTTCCTTTCGTAATGTGACAGGAATATATCGCTAAAATTTGAATAAAGAAGACATTCATAATAGATTGCACAAGTTATTGCCTGACACATTTTGCTGCATCTTGTCAGGACAGTAGCAACTGATTCAAATCAAGCAAATAAACAAATCCTTCAAACTGAAATACAGAATGGACTACATTCAAAAACCGTCTGTTTCACAAGGATAAACGCAAGGTGAAGACCAAGTCCTTTTGTTACTGTAGTAGGCATCTGACGAAATACAGTGAAAAATGCCAGGCAATAAATAGTGCAATCTATTGTTTGTGTCTTTTTTGTTCAAATTCATACGGGGGAAACATTCTTTCATGTTGCTAAAAGAATGAAACTGTAAGAATCCACAAACAAGTAATCTCATTGATATATAAATAAACCTATATTTCCTGAAGTGTAGGTGACAGAGTGATGAGTGTACATGCCAATCAAGTAAAAAAAATAAAAAATAAAAAAAAATTTCATTAGTAGTGCAGTGAGCATAAGGACGTCCTCCATGGTGAATTAAAGATGGGTAGAAGAATACTGAGGCCGACCTCTACTACAATATAAAGATGTCTGCAAGTGGGACATGAATGATATAGGTAGTGAGGTGGACTTGTGGGAATAAAATACCATGCACTATGTTGTGTGGAGGGGGGCAAATCAGGAAGGAAATAAGAATGAAGGAATTATTGCAGAAAGAATCAGAGCTGGGCAAATGAGAAGAAACAGACTAAACACAAATGTTGACAATGGTCCTGAAGTCCCACGCTATAATTGTGGAAGACTTTTCTTAACGCGGGCGGGTCTTGGTAGTCACACTCACCTTCACCGTGGGCTGTGAGTCCCATGCTTCCTCATACGCAATATAACGCTATCATTTTGGAAAGGTGCAAATCAGGGCATGGCGGGCATATGATGCTAGACTGAAATTTTTAAAAATCAATGATCGCTCAGTGGGTGATGTGGTCAGGGCATCGCCAGCCGGCTTTACTTCCCAGAATTATATCTGCTACTCATTTTAGGCTGGTATGACCTGGGGCACTCAAAATATCAGGCCACACATATAACAGATTAAGCATAAAGCTTTTGTAATCAATTATATGAATAAATGTGATAAAGTGAGAGAGAAAAATTAATCAAAATAAATGTTGTTTTGGGGGGGATAGATCAAGAAAGGGCAGAAGTGGAAAAACAAAAGTCTGTGATCCATTAACAAATTAAAGTCAAGAGATTTCCCTTCATTGTCTGTGGTTATCTCACTTGGCTCTTTCTCTCTCCACAGAATGGCAAGCCACCATCTGACAGCACTGTACAAAGCACAAACTCCATAGCTCTGGTAACGATCCCCTGGAAGCAAGGTAAAAACTGCACTCATGACGTGTGAACCCACGAGATTCTGAGCATGAGACAAATAGCTTGACCATTTCACCAAGAAGACCCCTCCCGCACCCCACCCCCTATTAACCAAATAAACAGGAGTGAAAAAAATCCCTATAAAAAGTATGGTAAGCAAACATCACAGCCTTGTGTTTCATATGAGATACAATGAAGTGATGAGAATTTTATGTTAACACCTTGGTGCAACAAGTATCCAGAATAGTGTTATTCTTCTTAACATTGAGATGCATACTCACCCATTGAGACCCTTAATGCAGATAGCTAGATCTTTAGTCATTATTCCAGACTCAATGGTCTCAACACAAACTGCCTCCAGACTTTCAGCAAACTTGGTTAATTCAGGATTGTTGTCCAACTTGGCACGGTGTGCAAGACCTCTTGTCCAGGCAAAAATTGATGCTATGAAAGAGAATATAAAGTCTCAGAAGGTTTCTTGCTGCAGTACAAAATAATGATTTTTTTTTTTAACGTTACAGTTAGTCAAATTTTATAACAATATTGGGCTATCTTCTGAATAATGGTCCCAAATTATTGAGGCAGAAAATATACCCTAACAGGGCCTCAGTCACGTGTCAATTGTGCACTTCTGGCGACTTCCGCCACTGCCGAGAGTATCGGCTCACGCGGCATGGATTGGGGCTAAACTAGATGGATGGGACTCACGAGCAGCAGTTACCGCATTTCCTGCAGCTGCCTTCCTTTTATTTATCCCCCAGGCCGCATGAGCGGCGTGTGGGATACTCTCGGCGTTGGCGGTATAGTCCCCGGAAATTCGCAATTCGGCGGTGGCGGTATAGTCCCAGGAAGTGCGCAATTGACACGTGACTGAGGCCCTGTTAGGGTATATTTTCTGCCTCGATAATTTGGGACCATTATTCGGAAGATGGCCCAATATTGTTTTGTATAACCTGGTCATGCCAGCGTAAAAGGTGAACAGACCATCTGGCAAGTAATGCACTAACACATGTGGGAAGAAGCATGGAAAGAGCAGACCATCAACACTGTATGGACTACCCTAGTGGATAATGCTGAGTCTGACACTAACACAACTGCATAAATTATAGTATAGCGTGGTGAAGCACATTTATGCCACCTTCAAAGCCTAAATAGGAGACATTATAACCAATTAACTCCTCTTGAGAACAATCACTAGAAGTACCTAGGAGCAGCTGCTACATTGGAGGGCTGAGCATGTATGGGAATATCCAATGTGCAGTGATGCTGGTTATGATAACATAACTGAGCATTCATTTTATTATATTGATTCATCATCAATGATCAGACTGGACATTCAAAAAAAAGTTCACAGCAAAGTTTTCCACATTGTGAATTGCCATAACAAGGCCACACACAATAAACTGCACAACAGATAACTTTGCATATTTCATTTATCTTGCCAGGTGCACACTGCAGAGCTTACAACAAACACACAAAAAAGCCAAAAATGAATTCTCGCATTACAAAACTTACAACATATAGTGAAGCCAAAAAAAAATGATTTATTACACTACAGAACTTACAAAATCTAGTGAATTCTTACACACAGAAGAGTATGTTGTGAGGGATCCTGAAATAGAATATGCACAGGTAATCCCACATCGGTAGCGACTGGCTGATTGGTTAAGAATGCAGGGTTCTCATGCTAGAGACCCAGGATTGAATCCTCAGTAAGGATATGGGTTTTTCTGCTAGCCGCAAAAATAAAATACTAACTTTTCCAGCCCATGGTGAGCAATAGCTATGCAGCCCTAAATCCTGGGAGGGCCACTGTGGTGTAGCGGCTAGACTCTCGCCTGCTCACTGGAAAGTCGTGGTTTCGAGTCCTGACAGAGGTCGACTTTTTTTTTTTTTTTTTTAAATGACCTAGCTTAGAGAGGATACCAGGTGCAGTCTGGGAAGTAAAGGCGGCCGGTGTGATGCTGACAACATTACTCATATAGTGCAGATTGGTCTATAAAATATAGGTCTAGCCTTATATGCCCAATACGCCTGAAGGTGTGTGTTAAATGATAGTTTGAGGCTAAATTTAAGTTTTGGAAAATTTTAAATTTGTTGACAAAATCCAACCGGTGTGCGCCTGTGGAAAAATATCAATTTAAGGCATTTTTTTGCTACTTCCACTTTTGCCCCATTTGCTCTGAAATGTCAAATTATACATGTGAATTACCTATTCTATGTCTATTCATGTGTAAAATAGTGTTTGGGATACACTGTATAGTGGAAGGACACCAAAACTTGTTGGGAAAATTTCATGGCAGAATCTGTTTTCACTCTCTTCATACCACTGTTTCGTTTCTGCCACCAATGTGCTCCAAAATGTCCAAATACTCATGTAGATTATCCATTGATGTGTGAAATAATAATCTCAGACTAAATTTTTTAACTTTTGGCAAATGTCAATTTTTGACGAAAACCGACAGGCAAGCATGACCATGTGAAAAAATCTCAATTTTGGGCATTTTTTGGCTTTCTAAGGTTGGTGGGAAATTTCATGGTAAAATCTGTTTTCTTTTTCCGTTTTGTTCCTGTTTGCTTTTCTGCCACCAGTTTGCTCCAAAATGTCCAAATACTCATCTATATTATCTATTCATGTATTAAATGGTAGTCTGAGAATTAATTTTTAATTTTTGGAAAATGTCAAGTTTCGGCAAAACCTGACATGCATACCATATATACCCGCCTGGAGAAAAAGGCAATAGTAGAACTGTAGATAAAGTTCTTTTGGGAATGTCATAAAAAAAGTGAAGATAAGGTTTTGTGAAGACAAAAAAAGTTAGCTGTGTATCTTTTATAGGATGTTGCAAAACCAACCCCAGCATCTTTGGCTGTTTTAGTTTTACTAGTACTTTTACTTTCAGTAATTTGCCATTGCATTCTCAACAGGCTCTCGATACCACTACTGAAATCAACACAAAGCGGTCTGCTGCTAAACCACCCACAGTTTGAATCGAACAGGGTTCCTTGGAATTATAAAGCCTAGGCCCATATGCTGATGAAGATAAGCATAGGCACAGTAATAATCCTAGCTGATCCTATTATCGTATGTTACACGAAACACCAGATACACCATGTGGGTTCTAGAGACCCAAATTTTTTTTTTTTTTTGGGGGGGGGGGGGGGGGGGGGGAGATAGACCCACTGCTCCCTAACAGAATATGTCATAAAAGGCAACTAGTTTCGGGTTTGCTGAAATCAGATATGTCTGGCTGAAAGGCCCAGATATAATAGCTTAGCTGTAAACCACAACACAATGTCCCAAAGTCATTTTAACACATAAGAACAGCAAGAAACCTCAGATGATATTCTGACTGACTGACTTTCCACTCCACCAGGACATCACACAAGCGATAAACACCCGATGACACAATGTGCCACCATGTGGATGCGAATCACCGTGGAGAGGTCCCAGAAACCCGGGTTCAGCCATTAGGCCATATTTACGGCTGGGCTATATTGAGGCCCCTGGCAAGAGCCAGAGTAGGGCTTCAAATAATGAAAAATTTCATCCTAAAAAGGAAGGGAAGTACATACTGATGATATTCTACAACTGGGCTACTCAACTAGGCTTACCCAGGGATCAAAATGTTGACACTGGAGATACTTATGTGTCAGAAACTCAAACCCCAGGGAAGAAAGATTATTAATACAATACAATTGGTAAATGGCCATTGAGTTAACCGTATGTGTCGATTCCTCCCCACCAAATATATGGTTGACATTCCGTTTCTGGGGACAGCTTTTATCAAGTTTGCTCTCTAGACAGTTGCAGTCCCCTGCTGACGAGATTCTGTCTTCCCGAGTGGACTGCCGTGATCAAAACATTGCGAAGGCAGCGTGGTCGAAGCTGCCAAAACTATAGGTCATTATCCCGCCCCGACATAGCACAACCACAATACACGCTGCTTCCACGAAAAACATAGTATCCCGCGTTAGAAATACGCACAAAATAGCAGTTCATGATTATGAAACAGAACAATCCATGAGAATTGACAGCCAGCGAAAATAAACACAGCTGCTATCCGCCATTTTGAAAACGGAAGACCAATTGGTAATGATCCGCATACCACTTACAAGCCTCTGCGGGCAAAATTTGACCCATGAGCCACCAGTTGAATAGCCCTGATCTACAACAAAACTTGACAGCCTACCTATGGGGTTTGTTGAGGTTTCTTTCCCTTGCTGGTAGAACCGGTAGTGGCGTGTCACGGTACCATGAGCTGCTTCAGCTTCTACAGTTTTCCCATCAGGACATATCAACACACTGGTCATCATACCCAGTGAGCCAAAACCTGCAACAGCAATCAATAAATATATCAAATGCCATTTCCACAATGATTCAAGAACCAACATCACAGCACTCAGGGGATTCTTACAAGCGCTTGTCCCCATCTTCAGCAGCCAGTGCAAGAGTTCCTCCAATATCAATTGTGCTATGGCACAGTGTGGTTGGATGTCCCTCTTGCCTTTACTCGGAGAGCTGAGTATCGACCAGATCCCCTTATCACTCCTTGCTGCATCACTTTCACCATACTGTGATCATAAATTTGCTGCTCTCAATTGTACACGTGCTTCCATAAGGCCTTAACCACGTTTTCCCTATCATGCATCAGTATTCTGCCAAGTTGTGCCCCAACATGATGGTATCCACAATGATAAGAGGCTGCAATGGATCTCTCAAGACTTTATCTCTCGTTTTGGTTATACACTTAAGACGGGTGTTCATGCATCCCTTAATGTTTTCTTCCCACTTCTGTCTTTATCTACCTTGTGTTTACCTGTCTTAAACTTTACCCTCTTGTATGCTTATTAACAGATTGATCATCAACAGTGGCATTCTACATGCCTTTATTATTATTCTCATTTGGTGATTGATCTATTTCTTGGTAAAGGATCACTTCCACTGCATACAGATACTTCTATAAGTGTTCCAGTCTCCGTCTACGGGGCCCATGAGAAGAATCACAACACTGCATCAAATTAAACAGCATTATTAAGTGCTAAATTAAGTGCCCATCACTGGCAAAACACCAAAGGAAGAAGGTGGAAATGACTTGGACATGTTTGCAGAATGCCTTGTGATACTTTGGCAAGGACTGCTCTCAGATGAAAAAAAAAAAAGATGTGGGCAACCTAAAGAAACCTAGAGAGGGACAGTATACAGGAAAATGCAGGACAGTAAACTGACATAGGATACCATAGGCAGAAAAGCAACAGACTGGCAGCAATGGAGATCATCACATCTGAATGCCTTACATGTCAACAGCACCATGAAGAGAATATTAACAGATTAAACTTGGTATACACCAGATCACATATCTACAAATATTGTGGTTGCTGTTCTTCTTATGACCATATCATAAGAAGAACAGCAACCACAATATTTGTGGTTGCTGTAATAGTGTGACATTCATCACTGAGTTGATTTCGCTCACTTCAACGCCATCACAGTCAAGAGAATAACTAGTCATCCATCAGGAAGAATAACCCAGTCAACAAATGTCCAAAGAAAGATGTCACCCAAAATATCACAGCTCTGCTATATGCAAGCACATCCCAGTTACATCGAAAACAAATATCTGGCAAATGACAATTTAAAAAAGTAATTTAAAAAAAACAAAAAACTGTTACAACTGAAGCTGTATTGAGTTGAGTCAAGAACCGATGTCACAGCACCGGGGATACTCCCAAATGAGCTCTATCCATTTCAGCAGATGGTAAAGAGTTCCAATTCCACTGACACCAGTAGCAGGGTCATCAAGCATGATTGTTAGGATTTTAAACTGTTATTATAAGAGAACTATTAGATGGATACAGATGCATATCATCTTAAAATTTTATGAAAATTTTAAAGTTTTAGACTTAAATGGCACACTTCGATATAGGTGCAATTTGTAGCTCGGGTGATATCTAGATGGTATTCAATCTCCTGTCACGTCTTCTGAATCGTGTCCAGAGTTACAGTTGCAACTGCTGCAGCGACCCCATTTTTAAGGTGCTGGATTTTTCTTTTCTTAGCACCATTTTAAGCCTCATAGTCACACAAGGTTACACGAAACGTTACATTTTTCTGAACATTTTAAGACGCCACACTCATCTATAACCCTTGAATACTTCTTTTATAATAAATGTTATCCTAGCAATCATTCCCGATGACCCTGCATGTGCATCTTGCCTTCTCATAAGTAAAACTATCTAACAGTGGAAAGAAAGCATGACAGTTCAATCACCTTGAGCCACAGAATCAGACTGCACATCTCCGTCATAATTTTTGCAGGCCCATACAAACCCGCCCTCAGACTTCATGCAGTAGGCCACCATGTCATCTATCAACCGGTGCTCATACCAGATCCCTTTAGCCTCAAACTGCTTCCTGTAGTCTCTGTTTGTCATGGCAGGAATTGAAATGTTTACATCAATTATAATCATAAGTGTACAAATAAACACCATATTCACTTAACCACCAGCCCAAAACTAAAGTTTTTACATATTTTACATCGAAAGCATGGTTCTGGACGATGAGACGGGTTTCTTGAAGACAGCAAGCAAGGGACAAAAAAGACACTATGGGTATGAAAGTACATGAAGCAGGGGAACTGATACAAAATTAAAGAGCCTGTCCAGATGATTAATGAGTAAATCTATGTATATTGTATATACAGTATAAAGCAAAAATACTCTGTCACGGACAAATTAATGTAATTTCAGCTACCCAAAAAAAACAAAAAAAAAACTACTTTTGTCGGTTGTGAAACATTAAAAACATGTCTTTTTGACCATACAAATGGAATCACTTCTTGCTAAAAAGTATTCTCCAGGTTACTGAGGGTAACTGACAAAGAGGCAAACAAAAGAAGTTGTGGACTAAAAATATTCAAGAATGGACAAACTACAGCTACCCGTGTGGCCAATTTATTTTTAGAGAAAAAAGAATTAATCCTTAAATAAATCATGTCGTAAAAGGCGGATAATTAGGCGTGTTTCTTTTGAAGTCAGAGTGCATCTGCCTGAGAGACAAGAAGCCAACAGTCAGCTAAAAAAAAAAAATTACTACATCTATAAAAAGGATGTGTATGCAAAACTCAAGCTTTGGAACTAGAAAACTGCCCGGTCAAAACGTTACATTATTTGTGTTAATTTGTGCACGTTTTGGTTAAGCTTTTTAGTCAAATTTCACTGGAACTCCATGTATTAGCTTGATTGCAGTCACCCCCATATTTTCACCATTTTCTGGAACAAGACCATAGACCAGAAGGGGATGAACAGCCAGGAAATTCCACTGGAGTTTATAGCTGGTTAATGTTAAGAAGAAGAATACAGCATAGCCATACTTATAAGGAGCAGTGGAAAGATGTGACAAATGGATGCACCTCAGTGACCCACTGTGAAAACAACTGCTTTGTGAAAAAATATAATCTACAAACACACGTTTAATGTGTAAACCTGTTAAAGATAAGTCTAGTATTTTTTTTTTAAATATATAACTACATGTTTTCCTCGGGGCATGTATAATATAGTAAACGAAAAGTTAACAATACCTACAGTTATACATTTCTATTATTTAAACAAGAAATTAAATATAATTATCATAAGTTAACACAATAAACAGGACTGTAAAGGGATAATAAAATAATGGAACTATAAATGTGAATTGCTGACTTGATTAAGGAGAAACAAATGCAAGTATATATCTGGTATTCAACTGACCTCTCATAGATTTCTTGGAAAATATCCTTGAATCTTCCGTCATATTTCTTTAGGATAGTGTTCTTGGTGCTGAGGATTATGTAATGTGCAATTAATTTGAAAAATAACTTGTAACTGACATGCTTAGATATTACAGTTAAACCATGCTTTCTATCAATATATTAGCAACATAGTTAGTTGTGTATCCTTTACAGGGCTTTGCAGAACCAGCAGCCCCAGCATTTTTGGCTGTTGTAGTTTTTCTAGGCAAATTTTACATTCAGTAGTTTGCCATTGCTTCTGAACGGTCAGAACTCAGTACCACGGTCGAAACCAAAGCAAGACATATTGCCCGAAGCTGGGATTGAAACCGGCACCCTGGCATTATGAAGTGCGTTCACCCTGCCTAAGCCACAGAAGCCGACTAGCAACATAAATGTGCTTAAGAAAGTGTTATAAAGAACAATAGTAACAAGCATATTTCCTGTAAAAATGAAAGATAGACATGGTTACTGTTTTTAGTTATGGCATACAGTTTGCTTCTGACAGATGATGGGCATTGCATTTTCCTCCATTTGTAGACTGAAAGGATATAGTTTTGTCACCCATCTTCTGAGCTGAGTTTGTAGTGTGACACTGAGCTGCAGGTTTCATTTGTTATCTTTTTTAAACTGCGATTAATGTAGTGTTGTGAACTGTAGATTCAGAAAATGGCAAGTGGCCTGTTGCCACAGCACTTAGTTAGTAGACAGATAATCCTCACTGCTTGTCAAACCACTCAGTCCATAAGTGCTCGGATCCCCTCCTCAGTAAATCCCGCAGTGTGTAGCGGCTAACGACACCAGTTCTGTGTTGATTTATTCTTCTTCTTTGGCTACCTGAGTAGTGTTCTGTTTGGCGACACCCCGTTTAACATGTTGTTCTTGCAGTCTGACAATGGTTGCAGATTCACAGTTCTCAGTTGGTCCATGCAGACATCTTAACTCTCTTAGCGCATTCAGTATATCAGCCTGGTCCATGGCTTATCCGGCTTTCACAGTAGCCTCATCTGCAAGCCTATCAGCTCGCTCATTTCCTTGTACCCCCACAAATCCAGGCACGAAAATGAAACTAATCCTTGTCACCCGTGAATTCTGTAGAGCCACCAACCACTGCCTTCGGACACAGCCCTTCTTTATCTTCCTGAGCATACTCATCGAGTCACTGAGAAAGCAGGCCCCGGTGAAAGTCTGTGTCTCTAGCCATGTTACTGCTTAAGTCACAGTCATGACCTTCATAGTCAGACTACTTGTAGTTACTGCAAACGCTCCAGAATCTTCCTTCACAGCTCTCCCTCCAAACTGTTCGGTGAAAGCCCACGAGCTTCTAACATGACGGATTACAGAACCATCTGTGTAAATGACAGCATCACCCTCTAGAGCGTTCTCGAAAATCGAGGCTTGAACTTCTGCTTCCACAGCAGCCGGACTCTGTTGTCTGCATTTTCTGTACTTTATCATACTTTATGTCATTAAAAGTGATTGTGTGTGCAGCTGCTGATCTGTTTGTAACTGCTGCTTCCGTCAATGATGAACTGCATTTCTAATGTCAGACTGTTTGTGTTAGCACTTCTGATGGCTGCCTTATGCTTTTAATGCGTGTGCTGGTGGATATGCTGCGACTGCAGTCTGTGTCAATGTTTCCACAAGGAACAGTGATAGACATTCTGTTTGTTTGTTTCCACTGGCGCAGGAGAGGAGCAACTATGGGGTGACCCGTTTGCTATGAAGCTGAAACTAAGATTACCATATAACCAGTCACACATTACAGATAATAGCCTACCGATCCCTCACTGTATGTTTAATTTTAGCTTTCTTATCTCTTTGAGTCCCAGGGAACGCATCACGCGCTAATTTGTTTCAACCTAGAGGCCTAATCAACACGTGACAAGTGAAGGTTTTTAATCTACCCCTGACCGGTTGTAAAACGCGGACCACTGGATTTCAACTTCCTTCCGAGTCCTTTGTGTCTAATATCAAGCGTGCTCATTTAGAAACGTGGGTTGCAGGCCAAAAATATAGCACATTTGCGAGATTCCCGAGTTACTAAGTGTTTGTTTGAAAAGAATATGGCCGTCAAGCACTATTCTACGTGCATGCCAACAATGATTTACGGCCTTAGAAGCCTAAAATTTAAATAAGTATGTGTTTTTTTAAAAAGATTGATCCGAAGTTAGATAGATAACATTGCGTGTTTCAGTCATTTATAGAGTCAAACTTCGATGAGGGATATGTCTAATGTGTACCTCACGCGAAGGGTACAATGATAGCAAAGTCAGCTGGCACAAATAGAATAAAAATTTGTGAAAAGACGATTTTATTCAGTGTCAGTTAGTTCTAGTGCTATTTCCCTTATTATTTAGGATTATAGCTACAAAATTACAGGCAAATTGAGTGTTAGATAAACTTTGTTTTGCGTGAAGATACTTATTGTTTTGGGAGTCAGTTTTCTTTACCAAATAATAGTGCTCTGTAATGATGCTTCAAAAGATTCTCTGGAACAAAATCTAATGTATAGTTTGAGTATATATTCTACTTATACATTACTAAGTGATTCATATTCATTTTTGATTCATTTTGGATACATTTTAACCAGTTTTTCTTGAGTGCCATGGTGGTAAGTGGAAATTTTTAAATTTTATTTACTAATTTTTGTAAACATACCATCTGTTTATTTACTAATTTTTATTTACTAACGCAATTATTTTTTCTAGCTCTGTGCTAAAATTATTCCTCAACAATCCCTGGTCACTTTGATGTATAATACATGTATGTTGCGCGGCAACTGAATTAGTATGGTCTGTTTTAATGTCTTACACTTGTGAAATTAAAAAATTGCATCACCACCCCTTGGGCCTCAGGTGCTAAACCCCCTGGGACTCAAAGAGTTAATAATAAATGGATAAAAATTGTTTAAATGAAAGCAAATATAAAATAAGTGCGGAAAGCACATGAAACTACAATGTGTGGTATAGCTACCTAAGGTACAATGGCCATTCCTTCTGTAAGGCAAACTGAAATGAACTGTGTGCAAAGTCTCGAATACTCTGAAACAAATTTGGATATAGGCAAGATACTTTGTATTTAATTTTTCTTGCAAAGTTTTCCACAAATTATTCACAGATCTTCTGTCTGGCATTTCATAAAATAGCACATCATTTCAACATCAGTGAATTAACTACAGATGAAGAGCAAAGTATCAATAAAACAGAGGTAAAAACGGTGATTGGGAGATTGTAAGTAGCAGTATGGAATTAAAGAACTGCACATGACAGAACGGATGGAAGAATAAAATGTGAGTCTTATGTGACATATAATAACAAAACAGGATGATGATGGAATAAATGCTTTAAAAGTAGATGAGATAAACAGAATGTCTAACACTCTTCTGCCTCAGCCAACAAGAGAATCAGAATGTCCTAACTACAAGTATATTTTTTTCTGAAAGATACTTACCTAAGCAAATATATTTTCTGACCACCAATGATTTATTTCATGTTGAATTAAGTATGGACATCACAGCACTGGTACCCCTATAAGCACTCCATCCCCATCTTCAGCACCAAGCAAAAAGTTCCAATTTAAATGTTACCAGTAACTGACTGTATATTCATCTTTGAGTGTTGAGTGTTGGCCAGATTCCCTGCTAACTCCTTGCAGCGCCATTCTCCTCAGATCGTAATGATCTATTTGTGCTTCCGCACTGCTCACTCGCACCATGTTAATGTTATTCCATATTAATGTCATAAAGTGCAGTTTTCCCTTGTACTGTTCTGTTCTGTATCTCTGGGAAACATCTTCCATTTGATGCTATCTACAGGTCTACACATCAGAATTTCTGTACTGTTCCCAAACTGATACAACTTACTTAAATTCAATGACGTAAAACTCTTAAGCAAGCAATAGAAGCAAACCCGAAGACCAAAACACAGATCAAGAATAACACTGGCATAAGAAAACAGAAAACAATCACTGGGGGTTTAAAAAAGCAGAAAGAATTGATAATAAGCATAATGACTACAAAGATAATAGTGTTAGCAACATCAGTTAGTAAAACATATCTCCTAAATAGTAGAATATTTCGGCTTGCTCTTTTGGCTCACCGTGGTGTTTACGCTACTATCTTCATTAAATCTGTCAGTACCAGGAACACATCATGTGTTGATGTACACAATATAACTTGAAGGAGTTAATCAAAGAATTATGTTTGTTACAAACATCCACTATAATGCACAGAAATGCCACTGACCTCATCTGTATTGTACATGCCCAAAGCCACTCCTCCAGACTCCTCAAAGTCGAACACTGTGTATTCTACAGGCTCACCACCATCCTTAGGTGAGAACTTGATTGTAAGTCGACCAGGCCCGGGTACCACAAAGTCAGTTGCCCTGTACTGAAAACACGAGAAATACATTACTGATTAAAGCTGTGGACACAAGAGACATCCAGAATTAATACAACAGTTAATAGTATAGTGTTCAACACCATCTATAAAAAATAATATGGTTGGTTGATGATGATGATGAAAGAAATTAACACCTGATATAATCAATCTGAGGCTCACGACAGCTGTTTTCATACACTCTCTTTTACTGTATGAGAAACTATTCCTGACTCCTGCCATCTGTAAACATCACAGTGTCTGACATATCTTTTTCTTCTTCTTGCTCTGAGTTTGCTCTAAATAGTTTTATTATGGTTACCAGCTAGGCTGTGATATCTGCGCCTTTTGGCCCAACACATCCAATTTGGGCAAACTCATTATCAGTAGCCATGTACAACAAGCTTATAAGGGAGGCACTGCGTCTTTCACCTCCCCCCCCTCCCCCAATGCCCCAATAGGGCCATAAAACCCACATGGGGAATGTAAGGCACGGTATCATGTTGTTCCCAATGGTCAAGAGTTTCACACAGCTTCAAATGTGTTGCTTTCGCCAAATTTGGTCAATTTCTGAGCAAGCACACTATGACCACACCTATGCTAGTCTCATAAACAAACTTAGTTCAATTACTAATGGTATAAACATATAAAACATGCAAATGTTATTCTTCTTATGTATTCACCCTTAAAAGAGTTGTTGGTACGTTGTTTTGTAGTTTACAGCTAGACTGTCTTCTTCTTCTTCTTCGCGATCACCAGCTTCATTTCTGGCGGTAAGTTCTGGTTGTTCGTCCACCTCTGCACCTTTTGTCTTCTCCCAGAACCTGACTGTTGCATGTACATCCATTTTACTGAGCTGACTTATTTGTATGCAGATTGTTGGTTCCTTGCCTCTGAGGCAGATGTACTCCGACTTCAAAGGAAGCACCCAATCAGTCGACACTTATGACATGCTTGTTGGGGAGGCAGTGGATCTATTCTTGTTTCCCCACAACAGGGCTCCGGGACCCACACGGGGAAACTAGAATGTGATATCTGTGCCTTTCAACCCAACCCATCCAATTTCTGCAAACCCCAACCCCTAACTAGTCCACTTTCAAGGCACGGTCCACTTGTTAAGGGGCAATGGGTCTATTCTCAATCCCACCCCCCCCCCCCCCAACCAAATAGAGCCCTAGAACCCACACAAGGAAAGGAAAACATGCATCTCAGTTTTACAGGGACAAATTTAAAAAAAAAACCACTATGTCTCATAATTTAATATAAGTAATATACAACAATATACATCAAAGATGCAAACAGCGGGAAATGGAAAGTGAGAAGCAACAACGAAATTCATAATCTGTTTAAATCACCATTGATCACTGGTATAATGAGAGCTAATAGACTGAAATGGTTGTGGCATATTGAAAGGATGTCAGATGACAGAGAAGTAAAAACTGTACACAAGGGAGATGAATGGTCCATGACCATGAGGCAGACCAAGAATACGATGGAAAGATAATGTCCAGACAGACCTGCAAACACCTGGTGTCACCAACTGGAAAGAGAAGGCCAACCAGAGAAATAAATGGAGACAGGTTGTGATGTCATCTGCAGCAATGAACCTCAAGGGCTCAGAATGAAGAAGAATAATATACAACTGACCTGATCTCCAAAGGCATGACGGCCAATGACAATGCTTTTGATCCAACCTGGCACCAATCGAGGAATGTTCTGGCAAATAATTGCCTCACGGAATACAGTGCCGCCGAGAATGTTACGTATTGTGCCATTTGGTGACTTCCACATTTTCTTCAGTTTAAACTCTGTGAGGAAGCAAAGAGGAAGATTTTTACTGGCACAGGAACGGAGCAAGTATGGGGTGACCCGGTTGCAGTGAAGCTGAAACCTTGACTAAGACTAAGACAAAAGAAATTTAAATAAGGAAAATATGTTGACTCTAAACGGGGCAATTAATATTTCAGTAATCAGAGTTTTTAAGTGTTCATGATGGAGGTTTCAAAAAGTTGCCCTTTTTTTTAAATTCTTCTTTCTTATTTTGCCTTTAGAAGGAAGGTTTTCAAGGTACCGGGGCTCTACTATAGAAAAAACAAGAACAGACCCACTGCCTACCCAAAAGCATGTCGTAAGAGTCAACTAATCGGGAGCTTTCTTCGAAGTTGGAGTACATCTGCCCGAGAGGCAAGGAACCAACAGTCTGTATACATATCTGTCAAACGGATGCACACGCAACACTCAGGTTCTGGAAAGGACTGCTCTCCAGAAGTGGACGAACAACCAGAACTTTCCACCGGAGTTTACAGCCGGTGAACGAGAAGAAGAAGAAAAAGATACTGCACCTTTCAGCCTAACATATTAGTCATCTTTCATGACATAACAGTTAAGGAGAAATGGATCTCTTCTCCAACTCCTACCCACATGAAAACTGGAATGCCCAGAACACACATAGGCAGAAAATATTACTAAACTGTTTCATCGTAGTTTAATAAATATTTTAAAATTATAATAATATCAAAATAATATAGAACAAAACATCGAACAAAAATGTTAGTTAACTCTTTTGATCCCAGACAGCTAACTGATGAAGCCACTAAACACTATTCAGACCGTACAAATATTATCTTAACCTTTTTCTTCCTCAGACTTTTAGTACCATAAAGTGGCAATAATAATTGTATGTCCAAGACATTTGGGTGTGCGGGGTAATAAGCATGCTGACAGATTAGCTGCTGCTGCTCCCACGGACGGTAAGCTACTTTATCAAAGTGAAACGTGGTGAAGGCTCTCTGGGATGAAATGGGCAGTGCTACAGAACAGACTGAGAATTTATACACTGAAAGACTAATTCAACGGGATGGTAGTGGTAGTGGTGGTGGTGGGGGTGTATGAGCAGAGCTTCCAGAAGACAATAAACACTAAGGAGCAGACAGGCAGAGTTAAAATCAGGTTGCAGTGGGTACCATTAGCATGTCAATTCTTTTTTGGCTACTGAGAAAGAAGGAATGTCCGGAGTGCACTGATGTTATTTCTTGATTCATTCATTCATTCAAAGTGGCAATGTATGGTATTGTCAATGAATGCATGTTATCTTGCCCTGTACATACAAAGTCAAAACTGTAACAGCTTGCAGACATTCAAAGGGAAAGTACTCTGTTGCACCAAACATGAGTAAATGATCACATACATATTAAATGCATAAGGCAGATATAAGAAGTGCCAACACAAACAGTCTGACACTAGAAATGCAGTTCATCATCAACTGAAGCAGCAATTACAAGAGATAAATAGTTGCACATGTAATTACTAGAATAAGGCACCATAGTTATTTTGGCAACAGGCTACTCGCCATTTTCTGAATTTGCCATTTACAAGATAAACCACACTGGGCATAGTCAAAAAGCATTTAAAGGAAAATCTGCAGCTTACAGTGTTTTGTTATGCACTCAACTCAGTAGCTGGGCGTCGGAACTATATTCTTTCAGTTTATATAAGGAGGAAAATGCATCTGCTAACTAATGTCATAAGCAAAAACTTACTACAACTTAAAACAGTAAACCTTCTTATCTGCCAAACTGACCAGAAGCTACCAGTCATTATTTAAACAAATACTAAAATACTTTGTTCAGAGTGAGCTAAGAATATGATCAGAGATGAAAATGGCAGACAGTACCTTCCACCCTTTTTTCATCAGGAGTAATGGTGGCACACTTAATCCCAACATTGTATTTCTTGATGGCTTCTGCTGCGTCAATAGTCACTGAAATATTATGTTGAATGTCTTTTAACATACCTTTCTTAACAAATGTTAACACATGAACAATTTTACTGCCATGAAGAATACATAGCATATGATGCTAAATCCATATCTGTAAACTAGTTAGTTAGTTAGTCAACAGATTATCCTCACTGCATATGAAACCATTGAGTCCATAAGTGCTTGGATTCCCCCCTTAGTAAATCCCCAGCATATAACGGCTGAGGACACCAGTTCTGCATTGGTGTTTTTATGCTTCTTTGGCTCACTGCATGGTTCTCTTGTCTGGCCACACCACTTTTCACAGGCTGTTCTTGCAGTCTGGTCATGGATGGTTACAGACTGACAGTCATCACGTGGTTCTCACAAACATCTTGCTTCTTGTAGAGCATTCAGAATATCAGCATGGTCCATGGCTCATCTGTCCTTCACAGAAGCTTTACCTGCAAGCCGTTCAGCTTGCTCATTGCACGCTTGTGTGCACTGACAGGAATCTGAAACTGTTATGTGTCAGCCTCTACCGACTCAGAGACTGCAACCACTATATTCCGACCCAGCCCATTTCTATCTTCCGGAACATACTCACTGAGTCACTGATAAAACAGGTGTGAGTGAAAGTCTGTGTCTCTAGCCATGTTACTGCTTTGGTCACTGCCATGACCTCCATAGTCAGGCTACTTGTACATAAGGCTAAAGCAACAAAATCTTGCTTTACAATTCTACCTCCAGCCTGGGCCGTAAAAGCCACAAGCTTCTCATGTGGTCCAGACCTATCTGTGTAAATGACAAGAGCTCCTCCCCCACCCTCTCCTGACCAGAGAATTCTCGAAAATCCAGGCCAGCACTACTGCCTAAACAAAGGCCGGACTCTGGTGACTGTATTTTCTTTCTAGTCGGATGCAAACAGGAAAGGTTGTACAGAAATATGCTGACACTTGTACCCATTCCTCACTAGGTTTTATGTCCTCAAGCCTGGGATCCATCCAAGGGTTTCTTTTTTTTTTAACCTGCTCCCTTCTTTCTTCTTAATTTCATTATGCAGCAGGCGAGTGTGTGTGTGTGTGTGTGCGTGTTGACTCTCAGGTAGGCACCTGCTGAGCAAAATGTGTATTCTGTTCTCCATGGTTATAAAATCAAGAAGGTAGCACTTCGCATTTTGTAAACTATCGGCAATTGGTCAATATCAGGCATATGACATTTTTCCCCAGAACATTTCCTGATGGCCATTACAGGGTGGGTCGACCTAGGATGACAACCAAAATCTGTGAAATGTCTGCCACAGTGGCAATTCAAACCTGTGACTATCAGCTGGTGGGGGGGGGGGGGGTAAATGTGCTAGCCACTCCACTATTGAAGCTCCCAGGTTTCATTACCATAAAATCAAAAAGAAATTTATGAACAGCAGGAGTATAATTGTATTTGAGACAATTCAATGGTGCTCTGCCTTCACTAAAAGGTACTAAATAGTAAAAATACAGATAGTCTTTCTCTTCTTTTTAGCACTCAACAGTGGAAAGTTCAGATTGTTTGTCCACTTCTGGACATTGATCTTGTTCCAAAACATAATTAATGCACATCTGTTTCACATATCTAGCTAATCTGCGTGCAGACTGTTGGTTTCTTGTCTCTCAGGCAGATGCACTTTCACTTCGAAGGAATATCTTCCTAATATTGGTCACTTTGTACAACATGCTCGTTGGGGGTGGAGGGTGGGGGCGGGTCAATTCTCCCCGCCCAAATGGGGCCCTGGAACCCATATGGGGAGTGAAGGTAGAGCATTGCAGATACTGCCATTGGGGTGTGACGTGTTAAACCTTCACATATTATAAGCCACAAGTGAGGTGTGGTGATCAGTTCTCTTCCTCTTCATCTTCACTGTACATTCTGTATCCCAATTATTCCTTGATGTGTTTATCTACCTTGTCTTCCTGAAAATAAGGCCTACCAAGAAAATAAGCCCTGGCATGATTTTTTAGAATGTTTTTAATAAAAGCCCTACCCCAAAAATAAGCCCCTGTTAAGACTGTCAGCCAGAATACATGAGAGCCTGGGGCCAATGGTTTTATAGAAAATGGAGTCACAAGAAATTCAGGTGAGCATTTTTTTTTTGAAAGTTCAAGCGATCTTCTAGAAGAGTTTGACATGAACTGAATTTAAAATTTGTGTACATGAATTAAGTAGAATTTTGTATTTAAAATTAAAAAAAACACAGACCACCCCCCCCCCCCCCTCCCTCCCTCGCCCCCTTTTCCCCCATAACAAAAATTTATATTAGATCCGATCTTATTTTTTTAGGGGAGACGCCACATTTATTTCATTGAAACTCTGAAGCTTTATTCTTTCAATTTTAATTTTTCAGTAGATAGTTTTGTCATGTGATGTTCTGTCACACCTAAACAACAAAACACACCCACCCTGATCATCAGTTGCATCTCTGTTTTCCATGCCAAGGTCGAAGAAATGGATATCCAGATCCACAAACGGCAGAATCAGTTTATTTTTGATGTCGTCCCATATGATTCTGAGGGAACAACAAGAACAGCAACAGATTAAAAGTTGTAACTCTTGAAAATATCATGTATGTCACAATCAGTTTACCCCCATGTGGGTTCCAGGGCCCCATTGTGGAGAAGAAAAAAGAACAAACGCATTGCCCCACAACAAGCATGTCATAAGGGTCGACTAATTAAAGATGTTTCCCTCGAAGTCAGAGTGCATCCCCCCGTGTGAGTTCCGGGGCCCCATTGTGGGGGAAAACAAGAATAGACCCACTGCCTCCCCAAAAGCATGTCGTAAGAGTCGACTAATTGGGGAGCTTCCTTTGAAGTCGGAGTGCATCTGCCGGAGAGGTGAGGAACCAACAGTCTGTATTCAAGAGAATGAGATCTGTAAAACTGATGCACACGCAACACTCAGGTTCTGGAGCAGGACTGCAGTTCAGTAGTGGACGAGCAACCAGAACTTTCCGCCAGAGTGTACAGCTGGTGAACGCGAAAAAGAAGAAGAAGAAGAGTGCATCCACCTGAGAGGTGATGAACCAACAGTCTGCATACAAATAATCCAGATATGTAAAATGGACATGCATGCATAACTCAGTTTCTGGAACAAGACTACAGTCCAGAAGTGGATGAAAAACCAGAACTTTCTGCCAGAGTTTACAGCCAGTGACTGCGAAGAAGAAGACAATCAATCAGTCAGTTTAGAGAGGGATATTCCCCAGAGGCCTTTTTATTTTTATTTTGAATTCTGTTCTGCAAATTGTCAGGAAAGTTGAGATGAGTTTTAACAAACGACAAAATAGCACTCAGGTAATTCCTATAAGGGATCCGTCCCCATCTTAAGCATCTAAATGTGTCTTGCTTTTGTCTTAGTGTGGAGTGTCAGCCAGATCCCCTAGTCAACCCCAGCTACACCTTAATTTTCACACCACGATCATCTTAGTCTGCCTGCGCACTGTTAACTCCCTCCTAAAGAGCCTTGACAACATCTACCTTGTAATTTAAGGAGATAAAGAAAGGATGGATAGATTATCTAGAGGTTCTTCTTCAGTGGTCTTTCCTTTAACTCTTTCAGTCCCAGGCAGGCATTACCAACTTGTGAAAGCCTTAACATCTGTTTATGATCCTAACAGGTCAAGGGTTTTATGTTATCACTGGACACGGGACGTTAGGGTAAACATTAGAACAAAATGAGTTAATGAGCCAGCTAGATGAAGAATAAGCAGTTTGCAAAAAATATATAATGTAAAGGGTTAAATAAGCAGTTAACAAAAATTATATCAAGAAAGATTAACTAGTAAATGCACAGTGAGTTGCCTGGTGCTCAAATAGTTCACAAAGGAATGTTCTGTTATTTTAGCATAACTGATGTCATAACTGAATACCCTTGACAGATAGAAAGAGTAATGAAGATGCCTTGAAAGACTCACGAAGAGAGCTGCCTGCCCACATCAGAAAGAGACAATCTTCATTCTTTGGTCATGTGATGAGAAGGAGAAAACTGGAATATATTGTGACAGTAGAAAAGCTGGAGGGGAGAAGAGGCAGAAAGAAACAGAGAGAAAAGATGCTGCACAGTTTGACATCATAGCTTGGAGTATCATCTGTGTCAAAGTTGATTGAAAGTACACAAGATAGAAGGTTGTGGATAGACATGATTACCAATGCCACATCACATGGACTTTAGGAAGAAGAAGATGTCACTGCACTCTTGGAATTCCCATATGTGCTCTAATGAAAAAGCCACCCTAAGGTACCTCTACTGATTGCTCTAATGAGAAGTTGATTTCAGAGTCTTCTATCTTGATCTCGAAATAGCGACATACTTCAGCAGGCTTCTAGCTAATGAGGTAATGGTACTGCCGAAGTGCTGTGAAATTATATCTTTCTTCATCTTTCTTCTTCGTGTTCACCAGATGTAAATTCTGGCAGAAAGTTCTGGTTGTTTGTCCCCTCTGGACTTTAGTCTTGATCCAGAACTTGGGTTCTGTGTGCATATCCATTTTACAGATCTGGCTTATTTGCATATAGACTGTTCTTTGCCTCTCAGGCAGATGCACTCTGACTTCAAAAGAAACCCCTAATAAGTCACCGTTTACAACATGCTTGTTAGGGAGGGCAGTGGGTCTATCCACCCCCCACATAGGTATGGAATTATACAACTTCAAATATAGTAAATAATGACCCAATAGCATGTGAGGTGATCAACCACCTCCCCCTTACCATGAAAATACTGGCACCCACTTTAAGTAGTGTGATAACATTTATAGTTGAATACTCCTCCCAAAAACAAACCCCCCAAAAATAGGACAGAAGTTTAACTGTGATGTAATTTATCCATCACATAATCACAAAACAGGACAGAAGTTTAACTGTGATGTAATTTATCCATCACATAATCACAAAACAGGACAGAAGTTTAACTGTGATATAATTTATCCATCACATGATCACAAAACAGGACAGAAGTTTAACTGTGATGTAATTTATCCATCAAATTATCACAAAACAGGACAGAAGTTTAACTGTGATGTAATTTATCCATCACATAATCACAAAACAGGACAGAAGTTTAACTGTGATGTAATTTATCCATCACATAATCACAAAACAGGACAGAAGTTTAACTGTGATGTAATTTATCCATCACATGATCACAAAACAGGACAGAGTTTAACTGTGATGTAATTTATCCATCAAATTATCACAAAACAGGACAGAGTTTAACTGTGATGTAATTTATCCATCAAATTATCACAAAACAGGACAGAGTTTAACTGTGATGTAATTTATCCATCACATGATCACAAAACAGGACAGAGTTTAACTGCGATATAACTTATCCATCACATTATCACAAAATGGGACAGAAGTTTAACTGTGATATAATTTATCCATCACATTATCACAAAACAGGACAGAAGTTTAACTGCGATATAACTTATCCATCACATTATCACAGCTCAGGATAAGCCACATGTGAAAGTATGATTTCAGCAAAACATTCATGAAAGAATGACCACGAAGGTGAGAACAAATAAAACTAAATATGGTTAACATGCAGTTCAAAGATAAAAGAGTGCATCTACATTCACAATAAAACATCTGCACTGTTCGGAGATAAACAACTGCAGCTGGTCAAATGTCCTATCAACACAGATAACCTCATTTCTTGGTACAATTTAATTCATAAACATCTTACCTGGGACCTCTTAATTTGTTAGTGGTTTTCACCTTATGTTTCTGTTTTTGATTTTTTTTAAACACTATGCTGCATGTCTACTTTGTATGATTTCTTATACACCATCCTGAATATCATGAATGTCTACTTTTTATGACTCTTCACTTGTTTTACACTACTGTGTATGTCATGCATGTCTACTTTTTATGACTCTTTATTTCTTTTACACTATCCTACATGTCAAGCAAGTTTTCTTCTAATGATTCTTCAAATCTTTACACTATTCAACATGTCATGTATTTTTTTTTTAACGATTCTTCTTTAAATTATTCTTCATATCATACTACATGAAAGAAAGTTTACTTTTACCAACTCAAGCAACATATTTACCGTACCTATTATAATGTTTGCGACTGTTATCAGCTAACTCAAAGGTCATTCTAGAGTGCCCTGTAACTGTCTGCACACTGCCCTAGATTTTACAACAGTCTCTAAAATGATACTTCCTAGGGTTTATATCAGATAGACCATTATGGTCTGAAGAGAATGGCGCTGCAGGGAGTTGCCAGAGAATCTGGCCAACTCTCCACACTCAAAGGGAGAGCGAGACGGGTATACAATCAGAGTTACTGGTACTATCAGAACTGGAACTCTTCGCTTGCAGCTGAACTAAAGATGGGGACGGAGCGCTTATGGGAGTGTCATGAGTGCTGTGATGAAGATTCTTAATTCAACATTTAACATTCCTTCATATCAGATGTTTACACAGGAATACTCAGACAGATTTGGTAATGTGTTTGTACTACAAACAGAATGTGAAGACAGCATTATATATACCCAATGGAACAACCAGGAAGATGCTTTATTACTGGAACAGTGCAAAAATATAAAAAAGTGACTGAATTATATCGACAGACAAAGAATGAAATGGTTCGGTCATCTAGACAGCAGCCAGACCAAACTGTAAAGGATAATTTATACAGCAGAACATCTAGAAGGAAGGTGAGCGAAAGACCAAAAAAAAAGAGATAGATAAAATGTGTAGCTAAAACCTGCACACACACACAAAACAAAACAGACAAACCAACCCATCACCCGAAAAGCACAAGACAAATGCAGAATAGAAGATCATGACACTGAGTCACAACCTGGTATCAGTGAGATGACAAAAGAAGACGAAGAAGTGAACTGTTTTTTTTTTTTGGATCTTTAAAAACATGGAACAGATTAAGCAAAAGAACAGTTACCTATGATTTAAAATCAACTGAGAGTGGGAACTAAAGAGCAATAAACAAAAGAGAGAAATGCCTCTTTTCACATGTAAATTTTTAATGTTTTTCAACTACAACCCAAAAAAATACTGCATTATATTAGGTCTTGATGATTGTAGTTTACAGCCAGGTTGTGATATTTGTGCTTTTTGGCCCAACACATAAGATTTTTTTAAAAACTCTTTTCACCCTGTGTGTTTGTATGTATGTATGGATGCATTTGTATGCATGCGTGTATGTATGTGGATATAGGAGTGTGTGGGTATTTGTGTGAATGTATATCTGTGTATGCATGCATGAGAGTGTGTATGTTTGTGTGAATGTTTATCTATATATGCATGAGAGTACATACGTGTGTGGATGCATGTATGTGTATGGATGTGTGCTTGTGTATGTATGAGTGCATGTTTGCATAAAGGTGATTGTGCATGTGTGTGTGTATGCATACATGTATGTGTGGATGCATGTATGTGTATGGATGTGTGCTTGTGTATGTATGAGTGAATGTTTGTATAAAGGGGACTGTGCATGTGTGCGTGCATACGTATATGTGTCTGTCTGTGTGAGTGCATGTATGTGTAGACATGAGTGTGGGCGAGTATGTGTCTGTATGAACATGAGTATTCTTCATGAGATCTGACTTCAGTAGTTCTGAATTTCTATTGTTTACATTTTAACCATCATTATTATCTTTGATTTTTTTTAAAGTATAAGAATAACTGTCAAACAATCACACAAAAAAGCAGAATGTATTTATTACTATCAAAATCTCTACAAATTTAATATAAATCATTCTAAACATAAAAAAATTTATAGAAATTATGATAGATTTTAACAAAAGGTGTATCAATGAATATAAATGTTGGGTAAATATGTGAACAAGGTCTACACTTATGTAATACAAAACAAACAACTCATGCCCACAAACATGTATAGAAAATGTTGAACAGCCCAAGATAAAACCATCAACAGGAAAAAGGACAGAAAAAAAAAATGGGAAGATAATAAAACTAAAAGTGAACATAATAAAACAAAATAAAGTGAGCATAATAAAAAGGAAACACAATAAAACAAAACCACTAGATGACCAGGTTAAGATAAAGTCATTAATGTCAAACAGATAAGACCAAGAAAATTAACAAGAACAGATAAAAATATACAAAAGAGGAAACATTATAAATTAAAGAAACAATATCTAGAGATCTTACAGGTTGACATTAAAGGATTTTTTGTCAATTTTGGGTATAAAAACCACTCGTGATTCAAGCAAATTTACCAGGGAACGTTGTCAGATTTAACTCTTTTAATCACTGACGGTATTACTTTAGCTTACTCTTTTATATGCAGTTCACAATATTAACTAACACATCTCTGAATGTAAAGTAATTAAGATAATAACATTAGGAGACATAATGGGTTAAAGTAACAAATGTGATATAAGGAGTCAATGTAACACAGAGATGGACTACAGAGAGTTTACAGCCATGTCATGCTACAAATGACCACACAAAAAAGCACATAGTGCACTCACTGATACTGAATGAATTTAACGGCCTCAAATGGTTCCCCCCTATATTTATTTATACGAATGAATTAAAGAATGGGCCAAAAAAAAATGGATGCAACATACTTTTGTTTAAAAACCTTGCTATTAATACTATCAAATGAAAGTGCATGAGGCGGGACAGCTGGTGAGAGACAGAGTACATTTCAGGCAGACTGTGTTCTGCAAAGAACCTGCTACATGAAGATGACTATCAAATGGAAAGTGTAAGCAACAACAATAGCTACGTATACAGTTGCTGTATCACTCTTTCCACATAATCTTCTCAAGTTCACTGACAATCTGCTTCTTCTTCAGCATTCCAAACCATTGAGGTTCATTGTTACAGATATCATCCGTCCCCATTTATCTCCATTCTTCTCCTTCTTTCATTCGCCTGAAATAAGTTGTCTATATTAGCAATTTTGTCTCTTGTATAAATTTCACTGTTGTTGTTAATTCATTCAGTGGTCCATAGAGTTTACGTTCCACTGTTGTTCTTTCTGGCCTAAAGTTTGCCTTAATGTGTGAAATTTGGTGCAGTCCTGGAGTACATGCTCTGCTGTCTGGGGCACCTTTCCACAGGTGCACATGGCTGATACGCCTACCTTGAATTTTGTGTACATGTGGTTACGTAATCGGTTGTGCCCTGTTCTGAAGCGGAGGATAATGACTTGTTCTGATCTGTCCAAAATAAAATAGTTGTCTTGTGCTGGGGCTGGTGGTTTTCTGATTGATTTAATGATTCTTTTCTTTTGGTGGTATGTGACTGGTACATCCGGCTGCAGTTTTGTCGCACCTTCTCCTGCCAGTTGATCAGCTTTCTCATTTCCAGGCACTCCATAATGTGATGGTATCCACTGCATTACAACTCTTTGCTGAAGGCTAAGTTGTGTCAGCAGTGTTTGCAATTCTGGTAGTTTCCTAGACTGGAGTGCTTCAAGTACTGATTTTGCATCTGTCAGTATTACTACATACTGGGAGCCAAGATTGGTATTTAGCAGTTTCTCTGTTGCTATCTTGATAGCCTGAGTTTCTGCATCATAGTTATGGCAGTACTTTCCGGTTGGTACACTGGACTTATCCCTAGTACCATGTGGGAATTCTATGTACACTCCAGCACCACCATTTCTAACTGCACTTTCTGCGGACCCATCTGTAATGACTCTGACCCACTGTTCTTGTGAGTATTCTTCTTGTTCTTTCTTGTCGAATATTTCTTTCACATTTGTCTTGATTTGTACTGTTAGTTTGCATTTCTCTCTCCATGGGGTTTGTTCTGGAATACTGTTAAGTGGACAACCAATTTCTAGAAGGTCAGCAATTTGTCTACATATTTTTTTTGCTTGATGTATAAAGCTGCTTCTTTTTAACCGTCCTAAGGCTAGGTTCTGAAATCTATTTTTCATGGGGTGATCTGGCATACTAAGGAACTTTTCATCTTGTATTTGCAACTTTGTATCTCTGCGTTCTCTCAGAGCCTGTGTTTTCCCAGCTTTCTCCATTTCTAATATGGGGGTTGATTTCATCCCTCCTGTGATGACTCTGAGTGCTTGATTTTGCACTTATTTATCTCCATGACTGGCGTCATCTTCTAAGTCCTGACTCCAGCTAATTGTTGTTTTGGCTGTATACCATCTCTACACGATTGTCTCGGTCTGCCTCATGGTCTAATCACATTCAGCTCTTTTGTGTGTGCAGTTTCTCTCTCTCTCTCTCTCTCTCTCTCTCTCTCTCTCTCTCTCTCTCTCTCTCTCTCTCTCTCTCTCTCTCTCTCTCTCTCTCTCTCTCTCTCTCTCTCTCTCTCTGTTATCTGCTATTCTAATTATATGCCCAACCTTTTGACAATATTTTCATTAGTATAAAACTAGCAGATAATGAAACAGCACTATAAAAAAAAGGAAAACTTACCGTGTCATCTCATCTCCTTGCATCTCAACTACTGGACCACCTGTATTAAGAAAAAAGATAGCATTGATATTAATGTTATTATTGTCACCAAAACTGGTACAAAACGGATACCCCATTATGAACACATCCAAACAAGTGCTTATTCTATGCCTTTGAACAGAGTACAATTGACTTTGCAGCCAAATTTACATTCAATTTAAGATTGGCGAATCAGCCATGTGTACATGCGGAGTGGCACCTGAGACAACAGATCATGTCCTCCAAGACTGTCCCAAATACAACATATCAAGGCAAAACTTTTAGCCAAGAGAAACATCGGTGCAAGTCCAACTTTATGGGTCACTTAGTGAATTACAAAGACAGGGAAGTTCAAACTAAAGACAACACTGCAGGTATAGATAAACATGTTCAAGCGAACAATAGAAGAGGAAGTTCACATCTGCAATAAAGATATGTGACTACTAGAGTTAACTGTAAGCTGTGCTTCCAACAGCTGTACTGTTAATCGTGTTCTACTATTTTCATTTATGAATTAGAACTGTGGGGACAAGCATTGTTTTTAGTAAACCTATCTCTGTGAAAATTTGCGTTATGCAGACGATATAGTTTTGATAGCTGAAAATGCAACTGATTAACAATAACTGCAGGATATTGTGGGGATGGAGAGTGCTAAGAAAAGACTTTCATATTAAGAAAACGGAAGTAATGGTTATATCAAAGAAGATAGTTCCACGTTGTGATATCTCAATTGAAGGAAAAAGACTTAACCAAGTCAATAAATTTATATAACTGGGAACAATCATATCAGATGGAAAATGTGTGACAAAGATTAAAACAAGTGAAAGCTGCATTTCTGAAAATGAAAAATATCTTATGCAACAAAGCGCTCTCATTCAATGTCACAAAGAGGGTGCTAAAAAATGTTGCATAGAATCTGTTCTACTGTATGGCAGTGAATCTTGAAATGTCACTGAACAAATTAAGAAGAATTTGTAAGCAACAGAGATGTGGTTTCTGAGACGAATGTTACGGATACCTTGGATGGCCACAGTAACTAACAACGATTGCTTGAAAGAATCTAATCTTCTTCTTTGCGTCCACCAGCCGTAAATTCTGGTGGAAAGTTTTGGCTTTTGGTCCACTTCTTGACTGCAGTCCTTTTCCAGAACCTGAGTGTTGCGTGTGCATCCGTTTGACAGATCTGACACATTTGTGTGCAGATTGTTGGTTCCTTGCCTCTCAGGCAGATGCACTCTGACTTCAAAGGAAACTCCCGATTAGTCAACTTTTACGACATGCTTTTGGGTATGCAGTGGGTCTATTCTTATTTTCCCTATATTAGGGCCCTGGAACCCACACGGGGGAAAGAGGCTAATGAAAGTAGATCTCTATATACAACAATAAGAAAGAAACAAACACTGTTCTTTGGCCACATAATGAGAAGAGAAATATTGGAGAACATCGTGACAACTGGAAAGATCAGTGGTAAAAGATCTGTGGAGATGCATGAGCACCTACGCCAGTTGGCATGGCACATGATGATGATGATGATCAGTAGACAGGATGGCCAGTTTCCTTCCCCTTTACAATTTCTTGCTAAAAAGCGTCCTAAAAACATTTTTGTACCAACTTTTAAAAAAGGTGGTCATGAAACAGTATTAATGACATAATATTGTGAGTCTGGAGGCACTGATAGATTATTAGGGTCTGAGGAGAATGGCGCTGAGAAGGGATCTAGCAGACGCTCAACACTCAGGGGAAGGGCCAGACGGATATACAATCAGACAGTTACTGGTGCTATCAGAACTGGAACTCTTTGTTTGCTGGTGAAGATAGGGACGGGGCGCTTACGGGAGTGTCCCGAGTGCTGTGATGTCATTCTTAATTCAACATTATTACACGAATATATGCCTATGATTATAACAAAGTCCCAGGTAGATACTAGTCGCCTAGCCCTTATATCAGACAATTGGCTTTCAAAGAGAATATTTTATGGTGAAGTACCCCTTAGGAAAATATTCCCAGGCGGCCAGAAAAAAAAATTATCATAACGAGACAAGTTAGTAGTTTTCGCAGACACGGACAGTCGTCTTCACTTGGCTTATAGCTAGTGTGAGGACGATGTTGGGCGGGGTCACTCACTGGTCAGTTTCTATGCTTTGCACAAATTTCGGCTCTCCTGTCAACTACGGCCGGTAGACAACAGTAGACAGCCGGTTAGTCGGAGTTCTGTCCCCTGGCTGCAGTGCAATTATGGACTGGAGAAGGTACGAATAAAAAAAGAAAGTGAGGTCGACATGCCTTGCAGACCCCGCGCTGCGACTCAAATTAGCGACCGCGTTCAAATACCGCATCTTGCGACTCATTACGGAGTGGATTAGAGGGAACGAAAAAAGTGACATAATTACTGTGTGTTGGCGATAGACAGCGTGCACTGCCCTGCTATAATCATACAATTAGGGTTTGGGTTAGGGGTAGAGTGTGGGTTAGGTGTAGGTTTAGGGTCAGGGTTGTTTGTTTGTTTTAGTATCCAGAAGCCATGAGTTATTAACCCTTAGGCTCGGTATTATGGATATCGCAACCTTTCGGCCTTGATTCCATTGTAAATACCGTAAATCTGGAAGAAATGTGGCTTTTCTGCCTACCCCCGGAGTGAACATGGACCACAAGGAGTTCGTCACCCGGTCTCCGTGCAATCCGGTTTAGCCAACTATGCTAGAGAGCCGGGCAGGGTTAGGTTCAGGGTTGCTACTTTGAGTTTGTGCGAGGACGAGATGCGGCGACACTAACCGTAACCCACACCCTAACCCTAAACCGAACTCAAATCCTACCCCTAACCATAACCCTAATCGTTTGATCATAGCAGGGCAGTGCACGCTGTCTATCGCCAACACACTGTAATTATGTCATTTGTTTCGTGTCCTCCTGTCCAGTCCGTAATAGCACTGCAGCCAGGGGTCAGAACTCCGACTAACCGGCCGTCTACTGTTGTCTACCGGCCGTAGTTGACCTGAGAGCCCAAATTTCTTTTAAAATAACTTTCTTTGTTAAAAAAAAAACACACACACACAAACACAAAACGTCAAAAAACGACTAACTATCATATGCACCTGTTGTCTCTCACATGTTGGCATAAACAATTCAAAATACAGTGACAGTTCAGTAAATCGCTTCAGAGAAGAGAGACAAACGTTAAAAGTTAAACAAGTTAGTTTGTATTATATTCAGCAGACACGTATGTCACAGGCCGGTTTCTCATTTGAGTATATCTTTAACATATTTCTTGTAAAACAACTTTCTTTGAGTTTAAACATCGTCACAAACACGTACCTTTTATCTTTCCCATGTTGGTGCAAGTTACTTAATCACCGCAATAATCACTTCAGAAACAAGTTTCACTTCGTTTCTCCAGCAGACACGTACGATCGTCTGCCTGCGCTTGGACTTTCACACGACGTGAGGGGGGAGGGCAGTGTGGATGTCGCCCGGGATCGCCGGGTCATAAAGTCATGTCGATTACAGTTATCAGCCAAAACGGACTTTACTCCAGATAAAAGTCACCTGGGTCATGACAACTTACTACGTTTATGCGTAACAGACAGGTGAAGAAAGCAAACTAATTTAATATAAGCTAATGTTTCAAGAAAAAAAAACAGCAATAACAAATATAACTGTTATATCGTTTGACTGTTATAGTGTCGATACTGACATTGACAATTGTCAGTGGGAATGTGGGTGACCTTTAAACTTTAACCTAAGAGCCCTGGACTTAATTTTTTTCTCTGTCTCGACCGATTTTTTTTTACATTTTAGTACATTCCAAAAGTCGTGCCTACATTAACAAATCGGTAATCGTTGGGTGCAAGTTGTTGAAATTTGGCATGCAGCCTTTTAATAATCATTTCCTTGTAAGAATTTCTTTTTTAATGAAAACAAACATAGCTTTCATAGCAGTAAATATGAACAAACAAACACCGATTCAAGGCAAATTGTCGGCATGCATCAACTGAGTAACGTGAACTTTTCAAAACATCGAATTGCACTCGTTTCATAAGCGTCTCACACTAAGGTGGTTATCGGCAGCATTAGCCTCCAATGAGTTCAGATGAATACAATTTTTCTTTGTATGCGTGATAGTCTATCAAAATAATCACCACGCCTTGCCGCCCATGTGAAATGATTTCCTAAACAGTTTCCACACTTATGTTAATTACTGTATATTTTATTTTTTATGATATTTTCTCCCGAAAGGTGGTGTGTTGGGAAACGAGCAGACAGATAGACTCACCGGTTATGTGCCAATTGGTGGTAAATTGATGTATGATAAGCCAGATGTGGTGAGGGCCCTCTGGGAGAGATGGAATAGTGCAGAGGCACACAGATAATTGCTGGCTGTGGATTATGAGGCTGCGAAGAGTTACCAGGAGATCTGGTCGACTCTCAACACTCAAGGGCAAGGCGAGACGGATATACAATCAGACAGTTACTGGTGCCGTCGGAACAGGAACTCTTCGCTTGCTGCAGAAGATGGAGACGAAGCGCTTAAGTGAGTCTGTTAGTCTTAGTTTCAGCTTCATAGCAAACGGATCACCCCATCTTTGTTCCGCTCCTGTGCCAATGAAAAACGCACAGATTGTTTATCACAGTCCCTTGTGGAGAGACTGAAAGACTGCTGTCCCAGCATATCTAGCATACACACGCATTAAAGCATACTGTAGCCATCCGAAGTGCTAACACAAACAGTCAGACATTAGAAATGCAGTTCATCATTGATGGTAGCAAAAGTCACCAACAGTTGCCCATGCGATCAATTTGAATCCCATACGGGCACCACCAACATTGCGACGACAGGCATCGCGCCATTTTCTGAATCTACAATTCACACCACCACGTTGGCCACAGTCGAAAGAACATTCCAGATGAAATCCACAGCTCTCAGTGTCACGCCATGCATTCAACTCAGAAGCTGGGCAACGAAACTTTATCCAGTCTACAAATGGAGAAAAAATTCATCGGCCACCGTCCGGCAAAAGAAAAAAAAATGTGCCTCGGCTCCAAACAGTGCCCCTGCCTCGCGTCCATCTTGTACCAGGGGTAGATACTAGATCTTAAGTGAGTGTCCCGAGTCCTGTGCTGTTATTTCTTAATTCAACTATTTTTAGGGGTACACAAATTATTAGTCAAACAAAAATCATCGAAATTCGCCGCTTTATAAAAAAAACAGCAGCAGCTGTGCAGTTATAAATTATTAAAGATAAGGACATGGGAAATCTAAGGCCACATGCAAAAATGTGTGTGATCCGTACAGGCGTTTTCGAGATATTTCGTAAGGAATGGGAGCACGACTTTTGAAGCACACTATGGACTAGATACCGACCGATATCTACCACCACAACATAATATCCTTTTCTGTCGACAAACAAGAGTTGGTGACCCTGAAATTCGTGCATTTAAAATGTAGCTAAAAAAAAAAAAAAGGCTTTTCTGGTTCCGAAATTGAAAATAAAAATATATTCTATCTACTTCTTTTCTCTGCTACTGGAATGTCTCGCAGCGTTAGGACAGGAATGTGCGCGCACACACACACACACACACACACACACACACACACACACACACACGTGCACACACACAATGAAGAACATTTTATGCTATAAATCCATGTCGTTGGAGAATTCTCGCATGCTAAATAGAGCCAGTTTTAACATACGGCTGTGAAGCCTGGACGGTTGATAAACAAGCCGAACAATGTCTTGAGGCCGCGGAGATGTAGTTTTACAGAAGAATCCTTAAAATTCTTTGGACAGCTATGAACCCAGATGCTTTGAAAAAAGCGAATGCTTGAATGTGACCACAGGAAAGATATGGGGGAAAAGAGACATAGAAAGACAGCGTGAGAAGATTCTTGAATGTCTTTTGTCATGGCATGGCGGGGTGTTAGCACACGAACTGAAAGATACTCGCAGTTGCGGACCCCAGATTGTGGAAAGGCATTATCGCCCACGCCAGTCGGCAAGGCACTTGATGATGATTTTTAATACCCGCAGGTGTAATGTTTAGGTTATCACTGGTCTGTTGTATGGTTAACCCCTTGAAGACCGAGTTCCTTTAACAATACTTTGGTCATTTCAGTCAGAACCGGGTTTGCATTTATCTGAATGAGGTCAAGTTAGAGATTATTGTTCATCATCTTCTTCTTCTTAGCGTCCCGTAGCTGTAAACTCTGGTGGAAATTTCTGGTTGTTCACCTACTTTTGGACTTAAGTCCTGATCAAGATATTGAGCTTTGCGTGTCGGATCAATATTAAAGATCTGGCTTTTTTGTAAGCCGACTGCTGATTCTTTGTCTCTCAGGCAGATACACTCTGTGTGACTTTAAAGGAAACACCACAAATTAGCGCCTCCTACGGCGTGCTTGTCGGGTTGGGGGTGGTCAGAAGTCTTTTTTTTGCATTCTACAAAGTGGAATCCCGGAACCCAAAAGGGAGCCATCCGTTAAATCGGGTCTCAAAGCATCATTTCCATGGGATGGTGCTGCAAAGTCGGTTTGTCCCGTCTGAGTTGCTCTCTGAAGGTTTACCGCCGTGATATACAAAATCTTAATCTAGACTGCAGACCAACAAGGTAGATTCCAGAAACTCCATTCGACCTCACAGAAGTTATAAATAGGTTACCTGTAATGATTACACAAGCCTGGTGTCATCTGCATTCATTACAGATAAGGACAGGTTCTTCATCTCCTCTCCCAGCTCAGATAACTAGCAGGGTGTGCAAGACCGGACACTTCCCATTTGCATAAAGGCATGTTGGGAAACAATCTAATACAAAGGTTGGAAAGACTGAATGAGAACATAATTATTGAAAGAAAGGAAAAAAAGAGACAACTGAAATATTTTGACCACATCAAAAGACATAGTTGACTTGAGTTGACTCAAGAATTGACATCACAGCACTCAGGGCATTCCCATGCATGCTCCGTCCTCATCTTCAGTAGCCAGTGCAGAATTCCAATACTGATGGTATTGGTCACAATCTGATTAAATGTCCAGACATAATACTCTTTTAAAATCCATACTGGAGAGAAAGGTTGACAGCAAGAGGTAAACAACACAAGTAGGAGGACAACATGAAGATGGATGAACAGCAGTCTGAGAGAGTGGACAACCAAGACAAGAAGAGACAAATCGTGTTGAAAATCCATTGCAGCCAACTTTCATTGTGGGGATTACTCCTGACTGATTAACTCTTAGAGTTCCAGAGGGTATAGCATCATTGGGCTTCCAGGTAGGAATCTATGAACGTATGACGTGTTCCTTGGGACTCAAAGAGTTAATATTGGGATTTAATCCTATGATACTTTAGCATAGCACATACAGCTTGGTCGGAATAGGGCCAACATTGGTACTGTTTATGCCAAAAGTGTAAGGCATTTCATTATCTATAGACCTGACAACAGAGTTGGGCAAAGGTCTAACCAGCTTCAAATAAGTCCCAGGGAAGATGTCATTTGGTTTTAAGTGCAGATGCCCTTGATCATTAACATAAACAGCAGAAACTTTATAAGTGTGATTCTTGCATGGTCACCCACATTCTGCTTCATCTGCAGATCATACACAATGTACCTCTTCTTCTTCTTCAACCTTCTGAGCCCTTGAAGTTCACTTATGCAGACATCACTCACCTCCATTCATCTATCTGGTTGACCTTTTCTTTCCAGCTGGTGACACCAAGTGTTTGTAGGTCTGTCTGGGCATTATCTCTCCATCGTCTTCTTGGTCTGCATCGTGGACTATGACCTTTCAGCTTCCTTGTGTATACAGTTGTTAACCTCTCTGCCATTTGACATTTTCTCAATATGTACAATGTACCTAAACAGCTTTAAAACAAAATTATGTGTTAACACAAAGTGTTTACATTTAAAATTTTTATTTGGTCATTTTTTTTCTCAACATGCATTGTAACATAATATATGAGGACAATACACTTAAAAAATGAATCACCTTGGATAAAATACATTTAAACAGACAAAAAATAATCATGCAGTGTTTAGAAAACAATTGACTGACTGCACTAACATCCAATATTAATATCACCATTATTTAATAAATTTTTGCATATTTATCAACATAACGGTTTTTTTAAAATGTGTAATATTTCACGAGAGAAAACTAACCACCTGGTAGATGAGATGTTTGAGAATGCTGTGAATAAAAACATAAGAGATCGAGCGAGAAACATGATCACAAGAATTGTTGGAACAACACCCATCGTCAAATTTATTAAGACACAAAGAATCAAATGGTTTTGCCATCTAATGATAATGAAACTAACGTTGCCGGCAGCAAG